ATTGCTCACCTCCTAGCTCCTGCCTCTCTGGCTGCTGGCAGGGAACTGCCAGCTTGCCCTCAGCCCTGGGCTTTATAAGGGCCAGGCCCTGCCTCCTACAGGCAGCTGGCTCCTCTTAGTTGCTCCGGCAACCTGCAGCTGCGCTCGTTACCCTGGCAACCTTCAGCTGGGCTCGTTAGGCTCTGCCAGGGCTCTCCCCCTGGCAGTTTCTCCTCTCTAGGAGCAGGCACTGAGGTGCCCTGCGACAGTTACCTTCTAGAAATAAATCTAGACCCTTCAAGAAAAGGGAAGTTTGGGAAATAGACTTAGGTTGGTTTCTTTTCTTGCTACCTCAAAGTTAAGCATAGGTTTGAAGTAGTTAAGATTTTAATGTGACAATATATCCTCTTGTTGGCTTCCAAAAACACATCATGAAGGCTACAGCAGATTAGGATTCAGAAAGCAATGATTTTTTTTCTCTGTTATCGTATTTCATTGCTGCTGCTTTAACTATGCACAACATGGTATATTACAAAATGAATAATGTTATAATTTTTTGAAACAGGAGATGCTAAGTAGCAGATGTTGTGTCCACATTTAATAAAGTATAACTTCATGTAAACCAGTCCCTCCCACCTAAAAAAAGTGTAACAGTTTCAGCATGTTCTCTGATATCTACTCCAGCAGTAAATCTATCAATTCTCTCAATCATTTGGCCTATCAAGCATGTAGAATATTTATCCCACAGCTAAAATCCCCCAAGTGACCCCCCAAGAAACTCGACACCTTTTCCACAGGTCATCTTCTGTGATCTCTACTGGAGATGTCCAATGGTCGCATATATCTTTGCATGAAATCAACAGAGGATCTTTTGATCTCCATGCAAGAATCATTGGGAAGCAATTCTTTTTGTCTCCCTTGAGACTCAGTGGGTAGGGACTGAACAGCAACACTGCATCCATGCCCTTTTTTCTGAGCCTGAGATGCTCAAGCAAGATAGCCAAGCTCTTTTTCCACACTGTTGTGGAACTCATTTGTATATGTGCCTCTGCTATTATTAAAGGGCCAGAACCTTTGTTACTATGAATTAGTACCATCCTAGTCACAGAAGTGATGATAATTATTGTCAGCTGAACATCTAGGCCAAACAAAACAACCTCCTACCCAATGAAAAGCCTACCTACTGGCCAAAAATAAACAGAATAAATAAGCAAGCAAGAAGACATAAATAAAATACTTTAGAAAAAAGGAATTTATGAGTGAAGAAAAAAAGCAACCACTTAATGGGGCACTGCCGGTTATTTTTAGGTATCAAGTTTAATTAATAATTTTCTGTAGACTATTTAGGGATGAAAGACGAACAAGTGATTAGATATTTCCTGCTAAGGAGATGAGTATTTTAATACTTGGGAAATAAAATAAACTGAAATTATGCTATACAATGTTCAAATTGCTTGCATGGTAGTTAACATTCGCAAAAGATAGTTGGTGTCAATTATAATAGAATTGTTTGTTTTTTCTGGAGGGATTTAATATGATTACTCTGGGGTGTCAATTCTGTTATGTCTCAGCTCTGTATTCTTGGGCAACCCTGGTACAGGATGCAGTCTGTCTGACTCACAAAGGACTCACCCCCCCCTCCCCTCCTCTACCTAAACGAAACTGATTAAGATGCAGTGAGAGACGCACCTAAGACCCTCACCAGATAAGGGTGACAAGAGTGAATCAACTGCCCTAGGTCTCATTTACATGAGAGATGGAAAACAGAAAGCCTGAAGCAGAGACTGCAGTGAATTCTGGGACCAGAGAAGCAGGAGAGCACTGCATGATGTGGAATCTGTGCTTCCAATGTTAATCAACCCATGTTCACACACACCCAGCTCAGCATTTATCAGACCAGTTCTAATCTGGATTTACTAAGGACTTTTCCCCCCCAGACACACACACACAGCTCTAAGTTTAATAGGCATCTCGGGCCGTACATTCCCCGGTCCCACTATGGGAGGCCTATTTAAACTTGATTGACTAAAACTCAGTTGCCGGGTTAGGGAATGCTGAGGCAAGAGACCAAGTCAGAGGGGGTATGGGCAACATTTGAACAATGGTTAAGGGTTCATCACAGCATCCAGCCTGCTGGAGCCCTAATCCCAGGTGTTGTCATATCTTTCCCGAGACGACTGGTGGGAGTCCTCTCCACAAAAGGTTATGAGCACCCCAATAATTGTCTTAAGTCTGTTAAAAGACTATAGTAAGATCTGGAAAAGTCATGCTAAGCTGAGGCTTGTGCACAACAAGTAAAAATCCAAAATCCTGATGCTGCAAGCTATCTATTGTTCCTGAAGAAACCATGAGATATCCCATCAGTATATCTGCCACCCATAGGAATTTCAAGCTGGCTCCCAAGTATTTGGGTTACTCCCTAATCTTAAGTGTTTCCTGATTATCAATCAGTTTCCTGAGACTCCTGTGCTGACACCATCCCCTGTCATTCTTGGGATGCTGGAAGAACAGATCGTCTCTCTCTTCAAGGATTGTGCTACGGACTGTGCCTGTCAGCTTTGCAGCCTGAGTACCGTGGACTAGGTGAGATCCCAGCGTTCTCTGTCTTCTTTCTAGGCATAAACTTCTGAACCTGAACTGTATCAGTTAAGCTTGAGCTAAGTTTCCCCAAATACTTAGTGAAACCAGGGTAGTATTGTCATTGTTGGTGTTTGTTTTTCTTTTGCATGTCTATTACTACTAGTACTATTATATATTTCATATGCTTAGCAATAAATAACTTTTATAGTCAAACTGGTAGTAATTGGGTATATTTTTCCTTCTCTGCTTCTTTTTCCTCCCATGCTCTGCAGCAACGCTTCTTTTACCTATGCTAAAGATCCCTGTGAAGCCCAAATTATTGTGGGGTCTGCTCATCAAGAGGCCAAAGATTGGGACGTGCTGAGTTTGAAACACATAAGGGGATCAGCCTGTACAGGCTGATTGACCCAGTTTGACTCAGACGTGCCCTTATGAACTGAATGCTGGCCCATGAGGGTGTCAGCTGGACACCCAGCCGGATTCAGAGGGATTCTGTTTACCTGTGTGCTTGTGTCTGACTGCATTTTATTGTTGCTCTTATGAACTGATTCTTGGCATATGAGGGTGTCAGCCTGTCCATGCTGATCAGCCCGGCCAGGTCAGGCGTGTCACTTTAATTTGTGTGTGTTTGTGTGCATGACTGATGACTGGAGGAACCCAGTCCCATTGAGATTGAGTCCTGCAAGATAGTTCCACTGGGGGTGAGGGCTTGCAGAAGGGACAAATACAGCTCCGTATAGTAACACAAGCAGCACATTGACAGAATCACCAAGACCCTAGAAACTATCCCTAATAAATGAGCACACCCCAAAGTAATGGGCAAATTTGGTAACAATTCTCTACTTGGGATGTATCTGAATATAAATCCCATTGGTGTTAATGGGCTAAATTCTCATCTATTTTTAGGGATGCAGGTCTGAAATAAGAATACTAACTTCATTTAAACCAAGGTAAGTGAAATAAGCATTTATTCCTAGTTACTCAGCATTGCATGTATGCACGGAGACACTGGAGATTACCTGGAAATGCTCAGAGAGTCCCTTCAAATTTAACTAAGCAGCTTTACACTTTTGGAAGTGTAGTATGTGTGATTTACACCTGATGAGGTGTTTTCTTTATCAAGCCTGGATTTCTTAAAATGTAATTTTCAATGTCATAGATGTAAAAACCTTAAGGAAACATCAAACTAGCAGTCTTTCCAGATGAGCACACAACTGCTGTGAGATTAATTGACCAATGGTCACAACATCAAAGTCCCAGAAAAGGAAGATTACATTAAAATATTTCAGTAAATCCAAGTGCTTGTCAAATCAACAAACTGGATTATAAAATAAATTCATAAGAGTATAGATAGGGTTTAATTTTAAGATTCTAGTCACTCTCTATTACATGTACAGTCTTTGAAGGTTGTCTTTTTACATCTTCACAATTAGCTGGTGATGAGCCTTCTTGGCTCATTTCTATTCAGAAAATCAAGCACCTGCTGATATTCTATTTTATACTGCTCTATAGCCTGCAAGGGATATTCTAGCACAAGTTGTTAATTCATTTAGCATGAAAGATATATTCAGCCTGATTCTCCATTCCCTCACACCTGGTGTGGACGTTTTTATATGTGTACAGAGTGAGCAAAAATGGGGCAAAAAAACTGCTACCAGCCAAATGAATAGAAATTTGATCTGCTATCATTTTATGATCATTCTATATTCAGTGAAAACAGGTGTAAACACCCTCAATGCTGAAAAGTAATAGCCCCATTTTTTTTCTTTAAAGAGGGTAGTTTGATTTTACATAAATCCTTTATGAATAACACAAATAGGGCATATCCTCACATGCATAGGCATGCATTTCCAGGGAGAAAAAAGCAGCACCACACAGTTATGCCACTGCTTTAAGTCCCAGGGCTCATTCCTGCATGTGCCTACCAGATTGTCCTGGGTGGGGTACGGGAACCTTATCTGCAGTCCTGGGGGCCTCCTGAGGCAGCGGCAGTGCTGATCTGGCCACATGAAGCCTGGCCAACAGCCAGAGTGCATCTCTGGATGACCAAGCTCTCTTTCTGATGGCACATGCTACTTCTGCATGCATCACACCACTTTATTTATTTATTTATTTATTTATTTCAATTGGGACATCTCTGGATCAAATTTTAGCACCACACTGCAAATTTGTTGTATGTTCACCACCACAGTTGTATGTTCACCACCTGAGGTTTGTGGCACAACAAACAGGTCGGTATCAATGTACCCATAGGCCACATCCAGATGAGCTCAGCCATGCAGTATGTGGTGCTGCAGACAAATCTGCGGTGCCATATACCACACATTCAGTTGTTTTCTGCACTGCAGAGGATCAGTGTGGGGTTTTTTGTTTGTTTGTTTGACTTTTGACCCCCACATATCTAGAGGTAAAAAAAACCCCACACCAAAAATAAACAACAAACCAACCCCAAAAAACAGAACAGCGCATGTGGGGGCAGCAT